GCATGCAGCTACTAGTGGTTTATGGTATGAAACAAATTTTTAAAGTCCATGCTCCTCAGTGTGAATGCTGCCTAACAGATGTGAAAAGTTCACAGCGAGGGAGTAGAAACTCCCTCTAAACAATATTCTCCGAAGTGCCCTGGTGTTACCTCAGATTTAGGATCGCATTTTCAAAACAAAGACCTTCTTTTGAAAATCTGCAGGTGGTGAATCTATACATGAAATATCCCCGAGATGTTAAACAAACAGTTGAGGGTTTTTTTGGTTTGGGTTTTTTTTTGGTTTGTTTTTTTTTTTCCCTTGGAAATGTAAGCCATAATAGCAATCTTCCAATTTGGCCTCCAACGAGAGTTTGAAGGAAAACAGTGATTCAGAAAACGACAAATACGAATTTGACAGAAAACAACCATACCTTCCTTATACCATGTAACAGTGATAGAGGCAAAAACTTGTAAGCAGAGTATGCAAAACCAAGAAAATTATTAAAACAGGTATAAAATGCTAACTTGCCGCTGATCCCATTTTCTCCATTGAAGCCTAGAGGGGCCACTGCTACTATAGTTGATACTACAGTACTCTTAAGCTGTGATAACGTAATGACAAGTAATAGAAATGGCCAACTACAGGTATTTTAGTAATACAAAACTCTGAGCAGAAAAAATACTTATTAAGTTGCTGCAGGAGAAAACAGCTATGAAGAGAAGATGAAACCAAGCATCCCACAAACCTTCTCAGTGAGATCTATTCAGATTACATAAAACTGAAAAGACAGTTTTTATTGTTCCTTATGAACAATTAGAATAAAGTGAACTAATTGTACATGTCCGTCTCCTATGAGAAACTAAAGACTTGCTTCAATAGGACAGTTTTTCTACAAGGTGCTCACTGGAGAATAGCAGCTAATGACCTCCCCATACTCCCCCTAACTTGACTTCTTAAGAGTCAGAAAATATATTTCCTTGTAAACCTTTCTTCAGGGCATAGAGACTCTCCTCTCCCCCATGCTGTGGGGCTCCACAGTACAGACAAAATCTCTGCACAACTGAGGTCAATGGAAATTCTGTCACTACTCTTACCAAGGCAGAAAATCCCTATTAAATTCTAGGATTTCACTGCCCGTGGACTCATCCTCTTTCAAACTCACTCTTGTAACCAGAAGCATTCCTCAGAGCTCAGGGCAGAACTAGAAAAGTCTGTGCAAGCACTACTATTATTCATGGGTATTTTTTCATCTATCTACCTTTGAAAATGGAGAATTCACTGCCCTCAAGTTATCATTTTTGAGATTAACAGCATTTACAAATTATTTCATGTACCCCTCTGAAATAAGGCATCTGAGTAGGCTGGCAAATAGACAGTGCTGCCAGAATAAAGCATGGAAGTAACACTCATGAAATCAAGAAATAACAAAAGAGCATGGAAAATTAAGTAACTTTTACACATTCTAAAATGCTGTATGCGTGCGTGTGTGTGTGTGTGCGCGCACATGCATGTATTAGGTACCTGTACCTCACTTACCAGGTAAGCTTCCACTGTTTAAAGGTAAGACTGCATTTAAGAAAAGAGACTTAAGAGTCTGCAAATATAACCCATCTTACAGGAAGACTAATTCACAGTAGAGTGTCAGGGAGGCCTGGCAGATCCCTGGGGGCTGGGAGCAGCAGGGTGCAGCCAGGTCCCATCCCACCCCCAGCCAGGAGCAGGGCAGCCAGGGGCACCAGGCAGTCCCAGCCCCGGGCATTGGGCACCTCCCTGGGGACAGGCCACCAGCCCATGGGTATGTAACGTAACCTGACTCATCAAAGCAACATGCTTAAGACAACCCATAGCTTTCCACAGGAAGATGAAAGGTTAGCTCTACCAGCATGCAAAATCAAATTGCTGAACGTTGTCATTTCTCATGTGTTTCAGATTTTGCAATGTGCCATATACAGAACATGTTCTGATTTTCCTTTTCAAACAACAGGAATATGATTTATAACCTCAGAGTATCTGTTACTACTCCTCATCACCTTGTGTCACTTCAGCTTTCATTCCTCCAGCCTCTAGACATTATTATTTGATGTACAAATGTAGTATGCTTCAGCAATTAAGATGACTGCATTTTAAGAAACTCTGAAGTAAGTGAAGTCTGATTTTTATCTCTTTTCACACTGTAAATACGACTGATTGAATTCTGTTTTGGGACCATGCTTAGTTTGGGTTGTAGTGTATATACGCAGGTGTGCG